AATTCTTCTATGAAATGACCCATCATCTTCAACAGTTATCCCTACCGGTGTAATTAAGCAACGTCAGAAGGCATACGGAATACTCTCCTGGTTTGGCTGGCATAGTTATCGTTTTGCTTGTGCTCCACGAGAACTATTGTCTTGTTGGATCACTAACCGTGTGTCAGCGAATGATCTGATGCGACAAAGCAAAACGATCGATATTTTTGAACCTCTTGCATTGTATTTCGCTTTGACCAATCCAATCCACCATATACAATCATTACCTATCACTTTGCTTTTTGCGCATCGTTTCTCCCGGTTTGCTGCGAACAGTATTTTGCCGGTCAAAAGTCATTCCACTGAGCAAAGAGATGGGTGTGATAGCAAACAGAATGCACAGGTTGGATTGAAGCCACCGCGCGCAGAACACTGGTCTAGGGTATACCAACGCCCAACACCCTGGCCAGTTCATTCATATCCACTTGATCAGTCGGGACGTGTTGTCGATGCTCAAAGACGAGTTGTCCACCTGTTTGTTTCAGACAAGCGAAAGAGGACAGAATGAGAGTGCTTTGTCAATAAATTAAAAACAATATACGCTAGCAATATCTGTGAGTGGGTCGTTTTGGATTCATGAACGTGACAAAACTTTAACCCCATCAATCAGTCTGCATATCATATGTACGCTGATTGATTTCTCCTTGCAAAACCTAAATATTCTTTATTCCAGCGAACGGATCAAAGTCCAGCACACAGTGAAACAATTTCCTGCCTAGTGAATCGGCTAGATTGCTAGAAAACTGGGCTTTGCCATGCCTCGACCCTTCCGTCTTTTAGACATGATTTGGTCTTTACCTTGATAACAACCATCCTATGTATATAGCTTATTGGGTCACACAAGTTCATCAGTCACCTTGCACAGAACAAGAAGTAACAAGAAGGCCAGGAAGCACCGTACAACTGTTTTAACTTCAATACCCATCAATAATGAAAACACCAAGTTGCAAACAAGCTCGTTTCAGTGCTTCATAATCATGCCCTTACAACACAATATATATAACCGATTACATATCCGGCTAAACCCTTTTATGTTCTCATCTTCTGAACTGTGGACCCATCAATAACTTAACTCCCTACTTGCGTCTATTGAACCTCAATCAGAACGCCGGTATGCTGATCCCATTCGTGAATTGTATTGCATCACAGTATAATAATCTTCGTGAAAAGAAGAGGCTCCGTTGTTGGCTCGAGGGTGCCATAAAGCTAGTTTACCCGGACCAAAGCAAGTGAATTTTATTTGGGAGTTCACAACCCGAGCCTTTGACCAACCTAAGTCTGACCCGCAAGGCAGCGGGACGGTGTNGAGGCCGGTGTCCACTTCATTCACCCTTTGGACGGGGTCAAATGTCCAACGTGCCCAGCATGCCCAAATTCAGCCCGCGACCAAAACCACGAAGGTGTCTGTGTGTGATTCAGGCTTCTTTTTCTCAGTGGATTTGGTATCAGGGTTTTTAACCACCCCCACCCCCTAGGTGAATTGCCAGTGGTTCATTGATTCAGTTATTGCCTTTAATGTTGGATTNCAGCGAGTGTGGCATCCTCAGCAGAGGCTATTTGAAACGCTTGGTCATATGGGAGTTTTTCGCGAGGTGCAATGAAGGGGTGACCAGCCACAACCTGAGACACCCACCTTCAACCGTAATAGGCACTTTCGCCTTGATTCTCTAGGGACAAATTCTTGACACAGTGTTTGTTTTACTGGAATGGAATGTCGAACGTTTGTTGCTCAGGGTGAGGATGTTGGTGTTGGTTGGTTCTCTGAGCGGGAGATGTTTGTCTGAGATTGAAGAAACAGCCGAACAGAACTAAATAAACCAGGTCATACTGTGGAATAATGCGCTTCCTGAGTTGAACCGATCATATTACCTACCATAGCTATTAAAGGTCTCTAAACCACATTTTCACCTCGGAGAAACTTCTAACACCAGAATCATGAGGCTATATCTCCTCATACATCTGGTTCGCTAGCATGATCTAGAATTCCTCATTAAAGTTAGGATCAAGGTTCTTAGTTGCCTGCAAAGTAAGAAGAATAGACCAATTGTGATTGTCACCCAAACTGTTCATATTGACATTGTTCTCCTGTAATCGGTGGCCTATTTGTTTCACGACCTTTTCCATCCGTGTGTATGACACCGATTGGAGTTCACTAGGATCATTCCCGGTAATCTTTCACGTATAACTTTAGAAGGCCAGGACGTAGTAGCTAAGAATGTGGTGATTCTACCCGACATCATTTCCCCACAGTGCTTTTACTCGACAATCTCCTGCTGGCGAGCAATTTGACTCCATGGATATTGTCCACACTGCATCGTAGGAAGCTGTCTCCAGTGCCGTTCGACTCTTCCACTACACGATCACCTAGGAAAACGTGATTTCTTCGTGAAATGTAGTCGTATTGCACTTCCGATAGGTGACCCAATATGTTGACATTTAACATCGGACTTTTTATTCCTCAGACGGTTTTTAAGATTCAAGTAGTGGATACTCTGTCACATACATCGATAATTGTTTAAAAATAGAACGAAAACCCATGATCTACTCGGGATCAATGACTCACCTTTTGCAACGATGAAGACACCACCGTTTTGCCAAGCATCTCCCTTGAAATTCCCGCCGGTATTGTTTTGCTGTGAATGATCAATAGTTGAAAATTCGGACAAGCGATGAAAGAACCTCGTATTTTATGCAACAGATTAATTCACAAAAATATTTAAGCATACAGTTTCCCATTTCATCCACCTAAACGTGCTGTATCGCGACGCGAAAGAAATTCGAAGTCAAATCACGTAGGACCTTAACGCATTCGAAGGTACACATGCAGCTACCATATAACGCGTCCGAGCAATCCCGATATGTGATCATCACAGGTATCTACATGCCGTAGTAAAAGAGCGATTCCCCACTGGGGCTGAGTTATAATCGTTTTACAAGTTTGGAGTGATTTGTTTAGTTGTGAGTGATAGAGCGTCTCCGATGCTTTTTCCTTAGCAGTTGACTTTTTGAGATATTTTTACAGATAAAATACTTTCCGCTTTTACTTCCCTTCATTAAATATATATATATATATACAATGATGTAAATAACTTTACGAAGGAGGAAGTGGCCAATCAAAGGCTGCCATATACAGGGAATGGGAGGTGTTATGCAGTGGTGGTAGTGGTGGTGCTGGAATGCGCATACTTCGAAGCGATAGCTTTAACCAATTGACTGCCACCTTCAAGGAGGGTTTTTTGATCTACTAAGTCGGATGACAGAGACCATTTCAACCATATTGTTCTCAACATCAGTGTCATTAATGAAAGATGTTTAAAACATCGACCGATCACTTTGACTGTGCAAATCGCACATTCCTATCTCTGCTGTTCAGAATTCAAACGGTCAGTCAATACTAGGTTGATCAATCTTGACAGCTGTAGGCTTTATTATTTGTTGAAGGTTTCAACTTGGTATTTGGGTAGGCGGTATAAGGAGTGTCACTGAGCCATCAAGTTAACCGCTCAGACAGTTTCGAGTGACAGGTGTTCCAAATAGTTAAGCGCACCACAAGCACCATCTGAGTTGAGTTAACTAGATGAACTGCTCATGGCAGTGGGTGGTTTTGTCCCAAAAGTTGTAACTCGCTTCATGGTGAGGAAAAGTGATTGTCGCCGATAAAACCCAAAGTGTGGTCACAACGCATGCTATCATAGCAATTATTGTGTCCAGAGTCGACGCAGTTGGAGTGATAGGGTAAGTGGTGGTCCACCGTTATGACCAATTTTTAACAAGGAATTTGAATAGATCAGCCATTTCTTCGTACACAGATCGAAGGAATGGAATGAAAGGCTCGGATTCGCACTACTGGTCGAGACAACCGCCCATGGTCCCTCCAGTCGAACGTTGGGAACTACCTACAAGAACGTCAAACATGCTAACATCGATCATAAAGAGTTTGCAAACAATCTGTCCGACTAAATCTCTTGAGTCACGGAATACCGATCATACATACCTTGCCAATTGTCCCATTTCAATATTAATGAATGAAATTTACAAACAGCACAGTTCATTGTATAGTGTTCAACGGGACTAAGCCATCACTCCACAAATAAATTATCTGCAATGAAACAGTCGAATGAACAAGATCACAAGTTCGAGGCGTTTTTTCCCTGATACTCGTATCCTTTTTTACCCACTTGAAATTCCCTTGAGGAAAAGTAATTTCTTCATTAGAGGGAACGGTAGTATTTTGCAGAAGCCGACCAGCATTGCAGTAGTAAAATATCGATCCAAAATGCGTTCGTTCATGCTTGCCTTATCCTCTTAGTTTCACGGGATTGCAACAATCATAACAAGTTAGTTTTTATAGGCTTAAGTAAAGCGAGCGGTTGTTTCCCGCGAAAGGCAAATCGAACTCACCTTAGTCTCCTTTGCCAAATGTCGAAATTTCGAGGAGAACAGTGATCCGATCCCCTTGGTTTTACTGGCACGATGAAGTCCGAGGTTGTGATACACTTCGCGTTCCGGGTCCAGGTATATATCTTACGGGACAGAATAGGGACAATTACCAGTGATGATTCATCACCTCACCGCTCAGGTTTTTTTCAAAGAAAGAATTCTTCGTGTGTAGAGCACATGAAGTGTGAGATTTTTACAGTCAACACTAGGATGCACTGTGCAGCTATTTCGACCTGGCTGGGTCTCATCAGCAGTGCGAATCCATCGACTCAACTGGGGATCGAACCCGAGACCTCACAGGCAGAACGCAAGCATATTACCCACTCGGCCACCGGACAGCTGATCAAACCGCTTTTCATTTTCCATTTGCACGATATAGAACAACCTGATGAGATCCAAGCAGGTCGAAACAGCTGTACAGTGCTTCCTAGGTTTTCAGTTCACGCTTCTTTTACTCTTTGCACGACGAATTCCCTTTATGAAATTGATTAAAATCCTACATTATTCATTTGTTACTTGTCTTCACACCTGAATAGTGAATCAGCGTAATCATAAAGCATATCTGAGCTACCATTCATCAAAAATTATTGAACATTTTATGCTCTAATTCGCCCAAATCGTATTTTAAAGGGTACGTTTTGGTACGTGATATCAGCAGGATATCCAGTGTCTCATTTCTTCCAGAATTCCCCATTCAACGCAAAAATATACCGACAAAGACCTCACTATTCTGAAACATGATGGAGGTATCCGTGGTCAAGCGGTGAGGGTCGCTCGCAGTCAGTTCGGTCCGGTATTCGAATAGTAGTGCCATACTCCCCAGATTTATAATGTATTTATTAGTAGGTATGTGACATCTTGGTAATATTTATGCAATTTATGCCTCTGGATTATATTTCAATGGAAACTAAATAACCCCAGTGTTTCCTATTTGTCTTACATATTTCAACTGACTCTATCCAAAGTTTGTTCTCAATTGTCAGTGGAGCAGCAAACAATCATATCTTGGTTTATACAGCGTTAGGTCACCTTACAATGAGACCATATCACATGAACATACAAATACCCTTGAAACAATGAATGCTAAACACTGAGTTATCACTCCCTGGGTACCAACCAGATCGTGAAATCTTGAAATCCACCATGTATGAAAACCCAGCCGATGGACGGTTATTTCACATGGTCAGACACCTCCAGTTTGTTTGAAATCCCCCGTGGAATCTGTTTACGTAATTACTGAGTTTTAATTCCTCACCTGTTCGGTAGCATGAATCAAACGCAGCTGATCGCTCGCGATGCACAAGCCATACAGTTGGTAGGATAAAAATTTCTAAAGAAACTGGGCTGTCTCTCGTTGTTCTTATTCAAGTGTGATGAACAGCCGTATGGACCATTTTTTGAGGTTAGACTTATAAACCCCGGGGGCCGGTACTGGTTCCACGGTATAAGGGTGCCAACGAGCCACGCCACAAGACAATCGATCACCGTTCGTCTATTAGACGCTATACGTTCATTACTTTTGAGATTGGTTCAACACTTTGTTTGAGGACAGCCATAGGGTCGAATGTGACAATGAATAATCAAGCCGAATTACCAGGAGTCAAGCAGCGATCCAAAATTTGACTTTTGCTGATCAAACAGCCATATAGATTGGTCTACAGTCATTCAAGGTTTGTCCTTCCCGCCTTTAGTTTTGAGCTGCAAACTAAGTGTGCTACAATAGACCGTTATACACCGCCTAATATCGTATTATCCTTTCCAGCGAATTAAAATTTTGCCAGATGCACTCATTAAGAATGTCCTCCAAGTGAGTAGAAAGCACACAAATCGTAAACAATCAGTATCTTGAATATTACCCGCCATGTTATTTCTTTTTCTCAGTTGAAATTGGAGTACTTCTGATAGACTTAATTTGGATATTTGGTATATAATCATACATATCTGACTTACCTCCTTTGAAAAACTCTCCAGTCACAAATTCATCAACGCCGTCTGGATCGAATCCAATACCGATCAGCCCGATCTGTTTGGCCTGCATGGCTGGAAGCAGTTGGCTGATCTTCTGGGCTTCCAGCCTGCAGAAGGCTCATCCGAATCGGCGAAACATGACAAGCACGGTTTTTTGAGCCTACCCAAATGAGAATGTGATGCGTGAATGTGATCTCTATATACTGCGCTACGAATCCTCATGATAATGTTACTTTCAGCTTTCCGTTTTTGACTACTGTCAAATCGGTAGTAGTAAATGGATAATTTGGCGGTGTAACTGTTATGCATGAACAAACGATAGTCGATATTCAGTGCTATGAACGGAGTCTTATGAGTTTGTTAGTTAGTGTGTTAACTACTCGAATAACCAAAGAATAATAACAAACAATGGTTTGAGATGTGTCACGATTGAATGATGGCAATATGGAAGGGTGTAGATGACTAGGCACAAACGGGGCCTGAAGAAGCAGAGTACGGATATTTGACACTAATGAAATCACGATAAGCATGGTATATTTAAATCAAAAGGTGGAAGTTGTACACATTAAATCTCATCAGCAAGAATATTTTGAACACTTCTAAGGTAACTTAAAACAAATTTAGTTGTTTACAACGCAGAAGAACAATGAAAATCGTAAAGTGCGCTGTTTTGCATATTTTCCCATTGGCTTTGTTCTCGCGTTGTAAGGCTCTCCACAGGTACGTTATCCATGAACGTCGATCTTTCTCTCCTCAATCGGCCGTCGCTCTAATCATTTCTATACACCACTCACATCCTATCTTATTACTTTTATATTATTTCGTACTTCCCTATCACATTGCGTTGAATTGCTTTTTTTAATTTCGCTGCAGCTTCTTCCTTACGCTCATCCATTTTCTACAAATGTATACAGCCCAATCGCTCCTCACTGTTAAGGTCACATTTATGGTGGCACACTGTCCTCCTCACTCTTCCTGCTTCTCTACATCTCATACAACCAACGAATCCCTGACATTGTACGTGCCTAGTCTAGCTCGGGACACTGGGTGCAATGCTTTCTTTTTCTGTTCCCTCTCCGTCATAGTTCCCTTCCAACCACTCTTACCAATTATCTGATGTACATTGATGATAATGATGGTGGTCTGTTTCCAGGTACCATGTGGTTCACTATTATTCGGTATCCCCTCCTCATCCTCTGCCAAACAGTTTGGTTTTGTTGCGAGCCAAAATGCGAACGGGGGTGCTCTTAAGCACGACGATGGAAAGGAGCTAAAATGAACATGACAGAATAGGTTTGTGTGGATACAGTAAGAGGAGGTGTGACGATAACTGATCAATGCGGATAACTCACGATGGTGTTCTTGGTGTGCACATAAAAAACACGTAAGTGCAAACAAACGAGCCCACTCCATCGGTGCATGGCGCGTATGGAATGCAGTTTATCGGCTAGATTAGATCACCTTATCACCTAGACTTAAGTTGCAAATGCACCCTCGTTGTCCAATCAACAGGATGTGCGAATCACATCATGGAGTGACTTTTCCACTGGATACGTGGATAACGACGTCTTTTAGTTTAATCTAATTTATCCTTCAGTCCGTTGCATGGATCGGTTTTCAACCCACAATTTACGGAACAGAATAAAGATGTAGATCCTTAGTGAAGTGGCCCTCAGATGAGTTCACTCCTATGGGCAGGAGCTTCTAGACACAATTATGAAACATCTAACCAATAGAACCAGAATGCATAGTAAACTCTGTTGAAGTGCTCTTAGACATCGCCGATGCTAATCAGAAATGATATGATCGTTATGCTGGACCCGGAAAACTATAAGTATAACAACGATATAAAGCTCTTGACGGTCGGTAGATCTGGAGAAACAAAGAGCACACATGTGCAGGGGAAGACGATGATCCCATCCTGAAATTCATTTCATCTACCTCAGATAACGAGTTCCAGTTTGGATAGAGACAATAAACATCATATATATATATGCATAAAATTGAGAGAAAACAAAAGCTTTTCTTATCGGCCAAAAGTGAACGTTTTCTACTTATGACATGCATACCAATCAGTGTGGAGTACAGCTAAACACCTAATTCAACCTCAGGTGTGCACATCCTCTTAGCCATATTGCCAGAAAATTACCCAGAACATTATCTGTTAACAATGCTGTTTGAGCAGATAGTTTTTCCCTCATATCTTTATCACATCATGGTCAGAAAACATTCACGCACTGTTATATTAAAGACTGTTTTGAAGCGACCGTTATATAACGATAATTAACTTGCTATGATAAATTCAAGCAGTTGCGCCGCTTTCATCACTTAAGGAGCTTGAATCCGTTGATAATAGAATGACACAACGTCGTTCGCTTTTAATAATAATAATAATCAATGTGCAATCGGAGATACGAATCCACACCCGAGTCTGACAAACTTCCTCTTACTCGAAAAGCATAGCACCTGGTGGTTCTACAGGTTCGGGAAAAATAAAAGAAATATCTAGTAAATTTTCACTGAACACTAATGGATATCATTTCAAAGGGATTGCCAAATTCTTACTGAAACGTTTTACAGCTGCTTACTTGCCACAGAGTACCGACTGGGATCATGGCGTTATCGGAAATACGCTTCACTGGGTAATTCTCAAAACCACCTATACGACCAGAAGAGCTCTGCGCCATGCCGCACAGATGCGTCTGTTCAGGACACGCGAATTGAGTTGAATAAACTTCGGGTCAAAAGCGTGCACCCGTATGTCAATTAGTGAATATTNTGAATATTTGCTGACTGGTTCGCTGTCTACCGCGATCAATACACGAATGAGCCAATCAGGGTGAACCCAGTGTTATGATTGGTACCGTTAGTAATTTCCATGGCAGATTTGTATCCACATAAACCTGAGCAGCATTGGGTGATCAGTTTACTGTCAAACAAGTAACCGATAAGTGACTTAACTAGCCAGCTCATTGTGTGACGTACATTGAGAACTCCTAACTCACTGTCAAACCTGCAACCTATTTAGTCACTCTCACTTTATAATGTCAAAGATGCCCGATTTATTACATGTCCAGATTGAAGACCGCTGCACGTAAGATCTATTTCGATCCAGTGATGGATGCACAATGGGACAGCATAGGAGTATACATTCTTCACGCTCGTGTGCAGTGAGAAGTTTATTCAGAAGACAAGCACTGTCTACGATTCATAAAAGTACTTACAGCGGTCTTCGGGGGAGTTTATATATATATATATATATATCGGGAGGGAGGTTTCGAATTTCACGAAGCCTATTTGCCCATGACGAGATTCTGATCTATCCTTCAATTGGCCATTTGGAGGTGCCTTTGTGAAACCACTTCGGTTCGGTTTATTCTGCTTTTATTCTACCAGTCTTTTATTCGATCTTTTACTCATTAGAAAATCAATCGAACTCCGTACTTTAGACTCAGGTGATCGTTTGTCGTGGTCCCAAACCATTTTTCTCTGATTCATGACTCATGTTCGTCTACTGTTTGTTTACTAGTTATGCTTCGTCGAAGCTTTTTAGTGTTGTACTTGTGCTTGCCGTCATCATCATCATCATCATCATCGTACAGCGAAATACAGTAAAGCGAACTTCACTGATCGCTGCCAAACTCGCAGTGCATACAAGGTTAGTGGTAAAATTTAAGGTGGACAGGGATTAGATCAAGAAAACGACAAGACACTTCTAGGAGAGAAGACCCCCTCTACCGCGCAGTTTTATCAAGTGACTGGTTCTACATTGCCACTACAAAATAGATGCCTCCTCGGTGACTGTTATTTGACGCCAATTATCATTGGAAGTTAACTCTGGGAGGGATTGTGCTGCAGCACCGTAAAATCCCACTGAAAATGAGCGGATAGGATTCCTAGATATACTACTTTAATCGATTGGAGTAGTTAAAAGTAACAAGTTGAACGGCTCCCCGGTGGGAGAATATACGTTCTACGCCAGTTCCATTGACGTTTACTCTATTGATTTAAAAGTCCACATTCGGCTTTCCTCTTTGGTTCTTAGCTCTGTTCAGGTATACTATCTGTGCGATATGTGAATCTCGATAAGTAGATTTGGAACAGAGAGTCTATCTTAACTTGATTCGCAGTGTCGTCGGATCAGGTGTACGCACAGAAATCGGTGTATATATTTTTTTGGCCTATTCAGTTTCGTCATTGGGCTGTTACTTTACTTTACATCAACCGTTTTCTTACTAGTTTTATTGCGTTGTCAAAGAAATATCTTCAAATCACAAAATAAGCTTATTGTTGCAATCGGAACATAGACTGTAGGTGAACGCCTGTTCCAGTGCATTCATTCTCAAATCTTTACAGTATATAAAAAATATGATAATATCATATGATATATAATATAGCCACTGTAGCCACTGAGGAGATGAAAAAAAATTTACATTTACGTGGTTGACTTCGTCGCATACGGAGCAAATAAAGGGGAACTGGAAAGATATTAAGCCCTGAACAGCTGTTCCGACTTGGTTGAGTCTCATCGGCAGTGTGAATCCATCGATCCAACTGGGGGTCGAACCCGGAATCTCACAGGTAGAATGCAAGCATACGACTCACTTAGCCACTGTGCAAAGAGCAAGTGAAGCGTGAACAGAGTAGTTAAGAAGCCCTGGACAGCTGTTTCCACCTGGTTGGGTCGCATCAGCAGTGTGACGTCAATGACCTAACTGAGGATCTATACACGACATAAGACGTTTGAAAGGCTCCATCCGGTGGAAAGTGCACCGAATAGCCGCATCAAACGAAAAGTGCACCAATTTCTCTAGCCTTTTGCCGCTCGCCCATAGGAAATATCGAATCCGAAGACAAATTTTAAACAGAATTGTCAGTTGTGTTAAAGAACGTGTCAGAAAATGGAAAAGGTTATTGATCATAACTTGTCTGATAAATGACTCCTGTGCCTGTAACCAGCGAAACTCCTCTTTAAAGAAGATCCAGCTGCTGAAAAGGCCGCTCGAGCCCTTCGTGGCACAGTAAGACAGTTCAACGCTAAACTCAGATGCATGTTCTTTATATGAACCGTCATCCTATTTCATATTTCGTATGACAACGTAGCTAGCTTAGTGCATCAAGGAACACCGATTAATGTTGTTTAGACAGAGAGAGAGAGAACTGGGTTATTTCCAGTTTAATTGTTGCCCATTTGATCGAAAAGGGACGTCTGATTAACTCTAGTACGGCTTTCGCCATCATCCATCGGTTTCCGCAACACAAATTTGAGGCCGCTCCAATCAAAACGTCAGCAACAATCTAGGCAATTATCATCCGTCTAATAAAGCCAGAGCTGTATGCACCAGGACACCGGCTGGAGCACTCAAACTCCCCTGACTGAAAGCGGGCAACATCACGCGAATCAATTGGCAACGGTTACGTAACCCGTTCATGTCCGACAAAGAGATTTGGAAAGAAACTCGTCCCTCCTCACGCTATGCAACCATTAATTGACCTCGACTGTTTGACTCCAACATATCATCATCCCTTCGTTTGCTTACCTAAATTTGATAGTCATGATTCGAGAATGAACTCACCGCTAACGTGGGCTCGCACATAATCTGTGTTCCAAATGAAGTACGTCCCTGTATTTTCATTTATGCAGTACGTCGTTTCACGATTTGAACCATTCCGCTTTTTGTTATTCTGTTGGTGTTTATTATTTTGCTCATGAGGTTTTTATTACGGTCTTATTGGCGATCTATCAGCCTCTCGAACGAAACAAAACCACTTAGATGGTTTTCCTGATGACAGATAGTTGTTTTCATACATAACAGAACTTTTATGATCCCTGACTTGTTTATCTTTATTTTTAATAAATCTCTTTCATTTGCACATGTTCAGCAAGTTATGTAG